GGAATCACAATGTAAAAATAGTGGCCCGAATTGAGGCACTTCATTAGGTTTACTCAAAACCCTCTGTCAGAAGTGGGATTCGAACCAAGTCCACCAATGGAGACTGCAATCTGAACGCAGCCAAGTCGCAGTGTGTAATGTGTAATTTGGCCACCTCTTGCGGAATATCTGGTCAATGTGAGATTGCCACAGGAAGACACACTCTTTAACGCAGCCAAGTCGCAGTTGTAATGTGGAAAACTGGCCATAATTCGGCCACCTCTTGCGGAATATCTGGTCAATGTGAGATTGACACAGGAAGACGCTATTTAGATCCCTTCCGAATCACAATGTAAAAAAATTGGCCCGAATTGAGGCACTTCATTAGGTTTACCTCAAAACCTCTGTCACAAGTGGGATTCGAACCAAGTCCTCCAAGGGGAGACTGCGATCGGAACGCAGCCAAGTCGCAGTTTTAATGTGAAAATTGGCCGTAATTTGGCCACCTCTTGCGGAATATCTGGTCAATGTGAGATTGACACAGGAAGACACACTCTTTACCACAGCCCAAGTCGCAATTGTAATGTGAAAACTGGCCGTAATTCGGCCACCTCTTGCGGAATATCTGGTCAATGTGAGATTGACACAGGAAGACACTCTTTAGATCCCTTTCGAATCACAATGTAATAAAATTGGCCCGAATTGAGGCACTTCATTAGGTTTGCTTAAACACTGTCAGAAGTGGGATTCGAACCCACGCCTCCAGGGGAGACTGCGACCTAAACGCAGCGCCTTAGACCGCTCGGCCATCCTGACATGGAATTTGCACCTTTACCAGAGTTGACCGTTGGCTTGAATTAAAACCAATAAAAACATCAGTGGCTTCTTCTGCACAGACGCCGCGTTGTCCAAGTATAATGTGCCATTGATTGTGTTGGGGAGTGTCAGCAAACTCCCTCTTCTCCCCGTCGGGGAATTGAACCCCGGTCTCCCGCGTGACAGGCGGGGATACTGACCACTATACTAACGAGGAACACAAACTAATTGAGCATTCCTCGTCATGAGCAAATACTTTCAGTCCTACAATTTTAAATATGAGGTTGAGACATGACGGGATCCAAAACACCTGTAGAAACAGGCATTGGTGGTTCAGTGGTAGAATTCTCGCCTGCCACGCGGGAGGCCCGGGTTCGATTCCCGGCCAATGCAGCATCTGCTTTAGCACACTTAGTGGTAGAGTTCTCTTCTGTAGTGAGGGTGGCCGGTTCCGATTCCCCGGCGAATGCAGCTTCCGTCACATTGTGGCCGGGAGTCGAAATCACAATGTAAAAATAGAGGCCCGAATTGAGGCACATCATTAGGTTTACTCAAAACATCTGTCAGAAGTGGGATTCGAACCAACTGTGATCTGAACGCAGCCAAGTCGCAGTTGTAATGTGAAAATTGGCCGTAATTTGGCCACCTCTTGTAGAAAAAACTGGTCAATGTGAGATTGACACAGGAAGACACACTCTTTACCACAGCCAAGTCGCAATTGTAATGTGAAAACTGGCCGTAATTCGGCCACCTCTTGCGGAATATCTGGGCAATGTGAGATTGACACAGGAAGACACTCTTTAGATCCCTTCCGAATCACAATGTAAAAAAATTGGCCCGAATTGAGGCAGTTTATTAGGTTTTCTCAAACACTGTCAGAAGTGGGATTCGAACCCACGCCTCCAGGGGAGACTGCTACCTGAATGCAGCGCTTTAGACCGCTGATGGCCGGCCAATTGAGCCCAGTTGTTTGATCGATTAAGAGGTGTAATGTGAAAACTGGCCATAATTCAACCACCTCTTGCGTAATATCTGGTCAATGTGAGTCGCACAAGTCTAAACGTGAGATTGACACAGGACAACTCACTCTCTATATCCCCTTCGAATCACAATGTAAAAATAGTGGCCCGTATTGAGGCGCTTCATTAGGTTTACTCAAAAAACTGTCAGAAGTGGGATTAGAACCCACGCCTCCAGGGGAGACTGCGACCTGAACGCAGCGCCTTAGACCGCTCGGCCATCCTGACATGGAATTGACACGTTCACCAGAGTTGATCGTTGGCTTGAATTAAAACATCAGTGGATTCTTCTGCACAGATGCCGTGTTGTCCAAGTATAATGTGCCCATTGATTGTGTTGGGGAGTGTCAGTAAAAAACCCTCTACTCCCTGTCGGGGAATTGAACCCCGGTCTCCCGCGTGATAGGCGGGGATACTGACCACTATACTAACGAGGAACACAAGTGCATTGAACATTCCAGTACCGAGGGAGGCCGGCCAATGCAGCTTCCGTCACAATGTGGCCGGGAATTGGAATCACAATGTAAAAATAGTGGCCCGAATTGAGGCACTTTATTAGGTTTACTCAAAACCTCTGTCAGAAGTGGGATTCGAACCAAGTCCTCCAATGGAGACTGCAATCTGAACGCAGCCAAGTCGCAGTTGTAATGTGTAATTTGGCCACCTCTTGCGGAATATCTGGTCAATGTGAGATTGCCACAGGAAGACACACTCTTTAACGCAGCCAAGTCGCAGTTGTAATGTGAAAACTGGCCATAATTCGGCCACCTCTTGCGGAATATTCTGGTCAATGTGAGATTGACACAGGAAGACGCTATTTAGATCCCTTCCGAATCACAATGTAAAAAAATTGGCCCGGAATTGAGGCACTTCATTAGGTTTACTCAAAACCTCTGTCACAAGTGGGATTCGAACCAAGTCCTCCAAGGGAGACTGCGATCGGAACGCAGCCAAGTCGCAGTTTTAATGTGAAAATTGGCCGTAATTTGGCCACCTCTTGCGGAATATCTGGTCAATGTGAGATTGACACAGGGAAGACACACTCTTTACCACAGCCAAGTCGCAATTGTAATGTGAAAACTGGCCGTAATTCGGCCACCTCTTGCGGAATATCTGGTCAATGTGAGATTGACACAGGAAGACACTCTTTAGATCCCTTTCGAATCACAATGTAAATAAAATTGGCCCGAATTGAGGCACTTCATTAGGTTTGCTTAAACACTGTCAGAAGTGGGATTCGAACCCACGCCTCCAGGGGAGACTGCGACCTAAACGCAGCGCCTTAGACCGCTCGGCCATCCTGACATGGAATTTGCACCTTTACCAGAGTTGACCGTTGGCTTGAATTAAAACCAATAAAACATCAGTGGCTTCTTCTGCACAGGACGCCGCGTTGTCCAAGTATAATGTGCCATTGATTGTGTTGGGGAGTGTCAGCAAACTCCCTCTTCTCCCCGTCGGGGAATTGAACCCCGGTCTCCCGCGTGACAGGGCGGGGATACTGACCACTATACTAACGAGGAACACAAACTAATTGAGCATTCCTCGTCATGAGCAAATACTTTCAGTCCTACAATTTTAAATATGAGGTTGAGACATGACGGGATCCAAAACACCTGTAGAAAACAGGCATTGGTGGTTCAGTGGTAGAATTCTCGCCTGCCACGCGGGAGGCCCGGGTTCGATTCCCGGCCAATGCAGCATACACTTTAGCACACTTAGTGGTAGAATTCTCTTCTGTACCGAGGGAGGCCGGCCAATGCAGCTTCCGTCACAATGTGCCGGGAATTGGAATCACAATGTAAAAATAGTGGCCCGAATTGAGGCACTTCATTAGGTTAACTCAAAACCTCTGTCACAAGTGGGATTCCGAACCAAGTCCCTCCAAGGGAGACTGCGATCGGAACGCAGCCAAGTCGCAATTTTAATGTGAAAATTGGCCGTAATTTGGCCACCTCTTGCGGAATATCTGGTCAATGTGAGTCGCACAAGTCTAAACGTGAGATTGACACAGGACAACTCACTCTCTATATCCCCTTCGAATCACAATGTAAAAATAGTGGCCCGAATTGAGGCGCTTCATTAGGTTTACTCAAAAACTGTCAGAAGTGGGATTCGAACCCACGCCCTCCAGGGGAGACTGCGACCTGAACGCAGCGCCTTAGACGGCTCGGACATCCTGACATGAAATTTACACGTTCACCAGAGTTGATCAATGGCTTGAATTAAAACATCAGTGGCTTCTTCTGCAACAGATGCCGTGTTGTCCAAGTATAATGTGCCATTGATTGTGTTGGGGAGTGTCAGCAAACTCCCTCTTCTCCCCCGTCGGGGAATTGAACCCCCGGTCTCCCGCGTGACAGGCGGGGGATACTGACCACTATACTAACGAGGAACACAAACTAATTGAGCATTCCTCGTCATGAGCAAATACTTTCAGTCCTACAATTTTAAATATGAGGTTGAGACATGACGGGATCCAAAACACCTGTAGAAACAGGCATTGGTGGTTCAGTGGTAGAATTCTCGCCTGCCACGCGGGAGGCCCCGGGTTCGATTCCCGGCCAATGCAGCATACACTTTAGCACACTTAGTGGTAGAATTCTCTTCTGTACCGAGGGAGGCCGGCCAATGCAGCTTCCGTCACAATGTGGCCGGGAATTGGAATCACAATGTAAAAATAGTGGCCCGAATTGAGGCACTTCATTAGGTTTACTCAAAACCTCTGTCACAAGTGGGATTCGAACCAAGTCCTCCAAGGGAGACTGCGATCGGAACGCAGCCAAGTCGCAATTTTAATGTGAAAATTGGCCGTAATTTGGCCACCTCTTGCGGAATATCTGGTCAATGTGAGTCGCACAAGTCTAAACGTGAGATTGACACAGGACAACTCACTCTCTATATCCCCTTCGAATCACAATGTAAAAATAGTGGCCCGAATTGAGGCGCTTCATTAGGTTTACTCAAAAACTGTCAGAAGTGGGATTCGAACCCACGCCTCCAGGGGAGACTGCGACCTGAACGCAGCGCTTAGACCGCTCGGACCATCCTGACATGAAATTTACACGTTCACCAGAGTTGATCAATGGCTTGAATTAAAACATCAGTGGCTTCTTCTGCACAGATGGCCGTGTTGTCCAAGTATAATGTGCCATTGATTGTGTTGGGGAGTGTCAGTAAAAAACCCTCTCCACCCCGTCGGGGAATTGAACCCCGGTCTCCCGCGTGACAAGGCGGGGATACTGACCACTATACTAACGAGGAACACAAGTGCATTGAACATTCCTCGTCACGATCAAATACTTTCAGTCCTACAATTTTAAATATGAGGTTGAGACATGACGGGATCCAAAAACACCAGCGAAAAAAGGCATTGGGTGGTTCAGTGGTAGAATTCTCGCCTGCCACGCGGGTGGCCCGGGTTCGATGCAGCATACCACTTTAGCACACTTAGTGGTAGAATTCTCTTCTGTACCAAGGGAGGCCGGCCAATGCAGCTTCCGTCACAATGTGGCCGGGAATTGGAATCACAATGTAAAAATAGTGGCCCGAATTGAGGCACTTCATTAGGTTTACCTCAAAACCTCTGTCAGAAGTGGGATTCGAACCAAGTCCTCAATGGAGACTGCAAATCTGAACGCAGCCAAGTCGCAGTTTTAATGTGAAAATTGGCCGTAATTTGGCCACCTCTTACGTAATATCTGGTAAATGTGAGTCGCACAAGTCTAAACGTGAGATTGACACAGGACAACTCACTCTCTATATCCCCTTCGAATCACAATGTAAAAATAGTGGCCCGATTGAGGCGCCTTCATTAGGTTTACTCAAAAACTGTCAGAAGTGGGATTCGAACCACACGCCTCCAGGGGAGACTGCGACCTGAACGCAGCGCCTTAGACCGCTCGGCCATCCTGACATGGAATTTACACGTTCACCAGAGTTGATCGTTGGCTTGAATTAAAACATCAGTGGCTTCTTCTGCACAGATGCCGTGTTGTCCAAGTGTAATGTGCCATTGATTGTGTTGGGGAGTGTCAGCAAAATCCCTCTTCTCCCCGTCGGGGAATTGACCCCGGTCTCCCGCGTGAAGGCGGGGATACTGACCACTATACTAACGAGGAACACAAACAAATTGAGCATTCCTCGTCATGAGCAAATACTTTCAGTCCTACAATTTTAAATATGAGATTGAGACATGACGGGATCCAAAACACCTGTTAGAAACAGGCATTGGTGGTTTCAGTGGTAGAATTCTCGCCTGCCAAGCGGGAGGCCCGGGTTCGATTCCCGGCCAATGCAGCATCTGCTTTAGCACACTTAGTGGTAGAGTTCTCTTCTGTAGTGAGGGTGGCCGGTTCCGATTCACCGGCGAATGCAGGCTTCCGTCACATTGTGGCCGGGAGTCGAACTCACAATGTAAAAAATAGAGGCCCGAATGAGGCACTTCATTAGGTTTTACCTCAAAACCTCTGTCAGAAGTGGGATTCGAACCAAACTGTGATCTGAACGCAGCCAAGTCGCAGTTTGTAATGTGAAAAAGTTGGCCCGTAATTTGGCCACCTCTTGTAGAAAAAACTGGTCAATGTGAGATTGACACAGGAAGACACACTCTTTACCACAGCCAAGTCGCAATTGTAATGTGAAAACTGGCCGTAATTCGGCCACCTCTTGCGGAATACTGGGCTATGTGAGATTGACACAGGAAGACACTCTTTAGATCCCTTCCGAATCACAATGAAAAAAAATTGGCCCGAAATGAGGCAGTTTATTAGGTTTTTCTCAAAACACTGTCAGAAGTGGGATTCGAACCCACGCCTCCAGGGGAGACTGCTACCTGAATGCAGCGCTTTAGACCGCTGATGGCGGCAATTGAGCCCCAGTTGTTTGATCGATTAAGAGGTGTAATTGTGAAAAACTGGCCATAATTCAACCACCTCTTGCGTAATATCTGGTCAATGTGAGTCGCACCAAGTCTAAACGTGAGATTGACACAGGACAAACTCACTCTCTAATCCCCTTCGAATCACAATGTAAAAATAGTGGCCCGTATTGAGGCGCTTCATTAGGTTTACTCAAAAACTGTCAGAAGTGGGATTAGAACCCACGCCTCCAGGGAGACTGCGACCTGAACGCAGCGCCTTAGAGCCGCTCGGCCATCCTGACATGGAATTGACACGTTCACCAGAGTTGATCGTTGGCTTGAATTAAAACAATCAGTGGATTCTCTGCACAGATCGCCGTGTTGTCCAAGTATAATGTGCCATTGATTGTGTTGGGGAGTGTCAGTAAAAACCCTCTACTCCCCCGTCGGGGAATTGAAACCCCGGACTCCCCGCGTGGACAGGCGGGGATACTGACCACTATACTAACGAGGAACACAAGTGCATGAACATTCCAGTACCGAGGGAGGCCGGCCAATGCAGCTTCCGTCACAATGTGGCCGGGAATTGGACATCACAATGTAAAAATAGTGGCCCCGAATTGAGGCACTTCATTAGGTTTACTCAAAACCTCTGTCAGAAGTGGGATTCGAACCAAGTCCTCCAATGGAGACTGCAATCTGAACGCAGCCAAGTCGCAGTTGTAATGTGTAATTTGGCCGACCCTCTTGCGGAATATCTGGTCAATGTGAGATTGCCACAGGAAGACACACTCTTTAACGCAGCCAAGGTCGCAGCTTGTAATGTGAAAACTGGCCATAATTCGGCCACCTCTTGCGGAATATCTGGTCAACTGTGAGATTGACACAGGAAGACGCTATTTAGATCCCTTCCGAATCACAATGTAAAAACATTGGCCCGAATTGAGGCACTTCATTAGGTTTACCTCAAAACCTCTAGTCACAAGTGGGATTCGAACCAAGTCCTCCAAGGGAGTCTGCGATCGGAACGCAGCCCAAGTCGCAGTTTTAATGTGAAAAATTGGCCGTAATTGGCACCTCTTGCGGAATATCTGGTCAATGTGAGATTTGACACAGGAAGACACACTCTTTACCCACAGCCAAGTCGCAATTGTAATGTGAAAACTGGCCGTAATTCCGGCCACCTCTTGCGGAATATCTGGTCAATGTGAGATTGACCACAGGAAGACACTCTTTAGATCCCTTTCGAATCACAATGTAATAAAATTGGCCCGAATTGAGGCACTTCATTAGTTTGCTTAAACACTGTCAGAAGTGGGATTCGAAACCCACGCCTCACAGGGGAGACTGCTACCTGAATGCAGCGCTAGTAGACCGCTGATGGCCCGGCCCATTGAGCCCAGTTGTTGATCGATTAAGAGGTGTAATGTGAAAACCTGGCCATAATTCGACCACCTCTTGCGTAATATCTGGTCAATGTGAGTCGCACAAGTCTAAACGTAAGATTGACACAGGACAACTCACTCTCTATATTCCCCTCTCGAATCACAATGTAAAATATATTGCCGAATTGAGGCGCTTCATTAGGTTTACTCAAAAACTGTCAGAAGTGGGATTCGAACCCACGCCTCCAGGGGAGACTGCGACCTGAACCGCAGCGCCTTAGACCGCTCGGCCCCATCCTGCACATGGAGTTGACACGCTCACCAGAGTTGATCGTTGGCTTGAATTAAAACATCAGTGGCTTCTTCTGCACAGATGCCGTTTTGTCCAAGTATAATGTGCCCATTGTTGTGTTGGGGAGTGTCAGTAAAAACCCTCTTCCTCCCCGTCGGGGACTTGAACCCGGTCTCCGCGTGACAGCGGGGAAATGACCACTATACTAACGAGGACACAAAGTGCATTGAACATTCCTCGGTCACGATAAAAACTTTCAGTCCTACAATTTTCTAATATGAGGTTGAGAATGACGGGATCCAAAACACCAGCGAAAACTGGCATTGGTGGTTCAGTGGTAGCAGAATTCTCGCCTGCCACGCGGGAGGGCCCGGGTTCGATTCCCGGCAACTGAGCATACACTTTAGCACACTTAGTGGTAGAAGTCTCCTTCCTGTACCGAGGGAGGCCGGCCAATGCAGCTTCCGTCACAATGTGGCCGGGAATTGGAATCACAATGTAAAAATAGAGGCCCGAATTGAGGCACTTCATTAGGTTTACTCAAAAAATCTGTCACAAGCTGGGATTCGAACCAAGTCCTCCCAATGGAGGACTGCAATCTGAACGCAGCCCAAGTCGCAGTTGTAATGTGAAAATTGGCCGTAATATGGCCACCTCTTGCGGATATCTGGTCAATGTGAGACTGACACAGGAAGACACACTCTTTACCACAGCCAAGTCCGCAATTGTAATGTGAAAACTGGCCGTATTCGGCCACCTCTTGCGGAAAATCTGGGCAATGTGAGATTCGACACAGGAAGACACTCTGTAGATCCCTTCCGAATCACAATGTAAAAAAATTGGCCCGCATTGAGGCAGTTTATTAGGTTTGCCTCAAACACTGTCAGAAGTGGGATCGAACACGCCTCCAGGGGAGACTGCTACCTGAATGCAGCGATTTAGACGCTGCTGGACGGCCAATTGGGCAGTTGTTTGATCGATATAAGAGGTGTAATGTGAAAACTGGCCATAATTCGACCACCTCTTGCGTAATATCTGGTCAATGTGAGTCGCACAAGTCTAAACGTGAGATTGACAAGGACAACTCACTCTCTATATCCCTTCGAAATCACATTGTAAAATAGTGGCCCGTATTGAGGCGCTTCATTAGGTTTACTCAAAAACTGTCAGAAGTGGGATTCGAACCCACGCCTCCAGGGGAGACTGCGACCTGAACGCAGCGCCTTAGACCGCTCGGCCATCCTGACATGGAATTTACACGTTCACCAGAGTTGATCGTTGGCTTGAATTAAAACATCAGTGGATTCTTCTGCACAGATGCCGTGTTGTCCAAGTATAATGTGCCATTGATTGTGTTGGGGAGTGTCAGTAAAAACCCTCTACTCCCTGTCGGGGAATTGAACCCCGGTCTCCCGCGTGACAGGCGGGGATACTGACCACTATACTAACGAGGAACACAAGTGCATTGAACATTCCAGTACCGAGGGAGGCCGGCCAATGCAGCTTCCGTCACAATGTGGCCGGGAATTGGAATCACAATGTAAAAATAGTGGCCCGAATTGAGGCACTTCATTAGGTTTACTCAAAACCTCTGTCAGAAGTGGGATTCGAACCAAGTCCTCCAATGGAGACTGCAATCTGAACGCAGCCAAGTCGCAGTTGTAATGTGTAATTCGGCCACCTCTTGCGGAATATCTGGTCAATGTGAGATTGCCACAGGAAGACACACTCTTTAACGCAGCCAAGTCGCAGTTGTAATGTGAAAACTGGCCATAATTCGGCCACCTCTTGTGGAATATCTGGTCAATGTGAGATTGACACAGGAAGACGCTATTTAGATCCCTTCCGAATCACAATGTAAAAGAATTGGCCCGAATTGAGGCACTTCATTAGGTTTACTCAAAACCTCTGTCACAAGTGGGATTCGAACCAAGTCCTCCAAGGGAGACTGCGATCGGAACGCAGCCAAGTCGCAGTTTTAATGTGAAAATTGGCCGTAATTTGGCCACCTCTTGCGGAATATCTGGTCAATGTGAGATTGACACAGGAAGACACACTCTTTACCACAGCCAAGTCGCAATTGTAATGTGAAAACTGGCCGTAATTCGGCCACCTCTTGCAGAATATCTGGTCAATGTGAGATTGACACAGTAAGACACTCTTTAGATCCCTTTCGAATCACAATGTAATAAAATTGGCCCGAATTGAGGCACTTCATTAGGTTTGCTTAAACACTGTCAGAAGTGGGATTCGAACCCACGCCTCCAGGGGAGACTGCGACCTAAACGCAGCGCCTTAGACCGCTCGGCCATCCTGACATGGAATTTGCACCTTTACCAGAGTTGACCGTTGGCTTGAATTAAAACCAATAAAAACATCAGTGGCTTCTTCTGCACAGACGCCGCGTTGTCCAAGTATAATGTGCCATTGATTGTGTTGGGGAGTGTCAGCAAACTCCCTCTTCTCCCGTCGGGGAATTGAACCCCGGTCTCCCGCGTGACAGGGGGGATACTGACCACTATACTAACGAGGAACACAAACTAATTGAGCATTCCTCGTCATGAGCAAATACTTTCAGTCCTACAATTTTAAATATGAGGTTGAGACATGACGGGATCCAAAACACCTGTAGAAACAGGCATTGGTGGTTCAGTGGTAGAATTCTCGCCTGCCACGCGGGAGGCCCGGGTTCGATTCCCGGCCAATGCAGCATACACATAAGCACACTTAGTAGTAGAATTCTCTTCTGTACCGAGGGAGGCCGGCCAATGCAGCTTCCGTCACAATGTGGCCGGGAATTGGAATCACAATGTAAAAATAGTGGCCCGAATTGAGGCACTTCATTAGGTTTACTCAAAACCTCTGTCACAAGTGGGATTCGAACCAAGTCCTCCAAGGGAGACTGCGATCGGAACGCAGCCAAGTCGCAGTTTTAATGTGAAAATTGGCCGTAATTTGGCCACCTCTTACGTAATATCTGGTAAATGTGAGTCGCACAAGTCTAAACGTGAGATTGACACAGGACAACTCACTCTCTATATCCCCTTCGAATCACAATGTAAAAATAGTGGCCCGAATTGAGGCGCTTCATTAGGTTTACTCAAAAACTGTCAGAAGTGGGATTCGAACCCACGCCTCCAGGGGAGACTGCGACCTGAACGCAGCCAAGTCGCAGTTGTAATGTGTAATTCGGCCACCTCTTGCGGAATATCTGGTCAATGTGAGATTGCCACAGGAAGACACACTCTTTAACGCAGCCAAGTCGCAGTTGTAATGTGAAAACTGGCCATAATTCGGCCACCTCTTGCGGAATATCTGGTCAATGTGAGATTGACACAGGAAGACGCTATTTAGATCCCTTCCGAATCACAATGTAAAAAAATTGGCCTGAATTGAGGCACTTCATTAGGTTTACTCAAAACCTCTGTCACAAGTGGGATTCGAACCAAGTCCTCCAAGGGAGACTGCGATCGGAACGCAGCCAAGTCGCAGTTTTAATGTGAAAATTGGCCGTAATTTGGCCACCTCTTACGTAATATCTGGTAAATGTGAGTCGCACAAGTCTAAACGTGAGATTGACACAGGACAACTCACTCTCTATATCCCCTTCGAATCACAATGTAAAAATAGTGGCCCGAATTGAGGCGCTTCATTAGGTTTACTCAAAAACTGTCAGAAGTGGGATTCGAACCCACGCCTCCAGGGGAGACTGCGACCTGAACGCAGCGCCTTAGACCGCTCGGCCATCCTGACATGGAATTTACAAGTTCACCAGAGTTGATCGTTGGCTTGAATTAAAACATCAGTGGCTTCTTCTGCACAGATGCCGTGTTGTCCAAGTGTAATGTGCCATTGATTGTGTTGGGGAGTGTCAGCAAAATCCCTCTTCTCCCCGTCGGGGAATTGAACCCCGGTCTCCCGCGTGACAGGCGGGGATACTGACCACTATACTAACGAGGAACACAAACAAATTGAGCATTCCTCGTCATGAGCAAATACTTTCAGTCCTACAATTTTAAATATGAGGTTGAGACATGACGGGATCCAAAACACCTGTAGAAACAGGCATTGGTGGTTCAGTGGTAGAATTCTCGCCTGCCACGCGGGAGGCCCGGGTTCGATTCCCGGCCAATGCAGCATCTGCTTTAGCACACTTAGTGGTAGAGTTCTCTTCTGTAGTGAGGGTGGCCGGTTCCGATTCCCCGGCGAATGCAGCTTCCGTCACATTGTGGCCGGTAGTCGAAATCACAATGTAAAAATAGAGGCCCGAATTGAGGCACTTCATTAGGTTTACTCAAAACCTCTGTCAGAAGTGGGATTCGAACCAACTGTGATCTGAACGCAGCCAAGTCGCAGTTGTAATGTGAAAATTGGCCGTAATTTGGCCACCTCTTGTAGAAAAAACTGGTCAATGTGAGATTGACACAGGAAGACACACTCTTTACCACAGCCAAGTCGCAATTGTAATGTGAAAACTGGCCGTAATTCGGCCACCTCTTGCGGAATATCTGGGCAATGTGAGATTGACACAGGAAGACACTCTTTAGATCCCTTCCGAATCACAATGTAAAAAAATTGGCCCGAATTGAGGCAGTTTATTAGGTTTTCTCAAACACTGTCAGAAGTGGGATTCGAACCCACGCCTCCAGGGGAGACTGCTACCTGAATGCAGCGCTTTAGACCGCTGATGGCCGGCCAATTGAGCCCAGTTGTTTGATCGATTAAGAGGTGTAATGTGAAAACTGGCCATAATTCAACCACCTCTTGCGTAATATCTGGTCAATGTGAGTCGCACAAGTCTAAACGTGAGATTGACACAGGACAACTCACTCTCTATATCCCCTTCGAATCACAATGTAAAAATAGTGGCCCGTATTGAGGCGCTTCATTAGGTTTACTCAAAAACTGTCAGAAGTGGGATTAGAACCCACGCCTCCAGGGAGACTGCGACCTGAACGCAGCGCCTTAGACCGCTCGGCCATCCTGACATGGAATTGACACGTTCACCAGAGTTGATCGTTGGCTTGAATTAAAACATCAGTGGATTCTTCTGCACAGATGCCGTGTTGTCCAAGTATAATGTGCCATTGATTGTGTTGGGGAGTGTCAGTAAAAACCCTTACTCCCCGTCGGGAATTGAACCCCGGTCTCCCGCGTGACAGGCGGGGATACTGACCACTATACTAACGAGGAACACAAGTGCATTGAACATTCCAGTACCGAGGGAGGCCGGCCAATGCAGCTTCCGTCACAATGTGGCCGGGAATTGGAATCACAATGTAAAAATAGTGGCCCGAATTGAGGCACTTCATTAGGTTTACTCAAAACCTCTGTCAGAAGTGGGATTCGAACCAAGTCCTCCAATGGAGACTGCAATCTGAACGCAGCCAAGTCGCAGTTGTAATGTGTAATTTGGCCACCTCTTGCGGAATATCTGGTCAATGTGAGATTGCCACAGGAAGACACACTCTTTAACGCAGCCAAGTCGCAGTTGTAATGTGAAAACTGGCCATAATTCGGCCACCTCTTGCGGAATATCTGGTCAATGTGAGATTGACACAGGAAGACGCTATTTAGATCCCTTCCGAATCACAATGTAAAAAAATTGGCCCGAATTGAGGCACTTCATTAGGTTTACTCAAAACCTCTGTCACAAGTGGGATTCGAACCAAGTCCTCCAAGGGAGACTGCGATCGGAACGCAGCCAAGTCGCAGTTTTAATGTGAAAATTGGCCGTAATTTGGCCACCTCTTGCGGAAATCTGGTCAATGTGAGATTGACACAGGAAGACACACTCTTTACCACAGCCAAGTCGCAATTGTAATGTGAAAACTGGCCGTAATTCGGCCACCTCTTGCGGAATATCTGGTCAATGTGAGATTGACACAGGAAGACACTCTTTAGATCCCTTTCGAATCACAATGTAATAAAATTGGCCGAATTGAGGCACTTCATTAGGTTTGCTTAAACACTGTCAGAAGTGGGATTCAAACCCACGCCCCAGGGGAGACTGCTACCTGAATACAGCGCTGTAGACCGCTGATGGCCGGCCAATTGAGCCCAGTTGTTTGATCGATTAAGAGGTGTAATGTGAAAACTGGCCATAATTCGACCACCTCTTGCGTAATATCTGGTCAATGTGAGTCGCACAAGTCTAAACGTAAGATTGACACAGGACAACTCACTCTCTATATCCCCTTCGAATCACAATGTAAAAATAGTGGCCGGAATTGAGGCGCTTCATTAGGTTTACTCAAAAACTGTCAGAAGTGGGATTCGAACCCACGCCTCCAGGGGAGACTGCGACCTGAACGCAGCGCCTTAGACCGCTCGGCCATCCTGACATGGAGTTGACACTCACCAGAGTTGATCGTTGGCTTGAATTAAAACATCAGTGGCTTCTTCTGCACAGATGCCGTTTTGTCCAAGTATAATGTGCCATTGATTGTGTTGGGAGTGTCAGTAAAAACCCTCTCCTCCCCGTCGGGGAATTGAACCCCGGTCTCCCGCGTGACAGGCGGGGATACTGACCACTATACTAACGAGGAACACAAGTGCATTGAACATTCCTCGTCACGATCAAATACTTTCAGTCCTACAATTTTTAATATGAGGTTGAGACATGACGGGATCCAAAACACCAGCGAAAACAGGCATTGGTGGTTCAGTGGTAGAATTCTCGCCTGCCACGCGGAGGCCCGGGTTCGATTCCCGGCCAATGCAGCATACACTTTAGCACACTTAGTGGTAGAATTCTCTTCTGTACCGAGGGAGGCCGGCCAATGCAGCTTCCGTCACAATGTGGCCGGAATTGGAATCACAATGTAAAAATAGTGGCCCGAATTGAGGCACTTTAGGTTTACTCAAAACCTCTGTCACAAGTGGATTCGAACCAAGTCCTCCAATGGAGACTGCAATCTGAACGCAGCCAAGTCGCAGTTGTAATGTGAAAATTGGCCGTAATTGGCCACCTCTTGCGGAATATCTGGTCAATGTGAGATTGACACAGGAAGACACACTCTTTACCACAGCCAAGTCGCAATTGTAATGTGAAAACTGGCCGTAATTCGGCCACCTCTTGCGGAATATCTGGGCAATGTGAGATTGACACAGAAAGACACTCTTTAGATCCCTTCCGAATCACAATGTAAAAAATTGGCCCGAATTGAGGCACTTCATTAGGTTTACTCAAAACCTCTGTCACAAGTGGGATTCGAACCAAGTCCTCCAAGGAGACTGCGATCGGAACGCAGCCAAGTCGCAGTTTTAATGTGAAAATTGGCTGTAATTTGGCCACCTCTTGCGGAATATCTGGTCAATGTGAGATTGACACAGGAAAACACACTCTTTACCACAGCCAAGTCGCAATTGTAATGTGAAAACTGGCCGTAATTCGGCCACCTCTTGCGGAATATCTGGTCAATGTGAGATTGACACAGGAAGACACTCTTTAGATCCCTTTCGAATCACAATGTAATAAAATTGGCCCGAATTGAGGCACTTCATTAGGTTTGCTTAAACACTGTCAAAGTGGGATTCGAACCCACGCCTCCAGGGAGACTGCGACCTAAACGCAGCGCCTTAGACCGCTCGGCATCCTGACATGGAATTTGCACCTTTACCAGAGTTGACCGTTGGCTTGAATTAAAACCAATAAAAACATCAGCGGCTTCTTCTGCACAGAGCCGCGTTGTCCAAGTATAATGTGCCATTGATTGTGTTGGGGAGTGTCAGCAAACTCCCTCTTTCCCCGTCGGGGAATTGAACCCGGTCCCGCGTGACAGGCGGGGATACTGACCACTATACTAACGAGGAACACAAACTAATTGAGCATCCTCGTCATGAGCAAATACTTTCAGTCCTACAATTTTAAATATGAGGTTGAGACATGACGGGATCCAAACACCTGTAGAAACAGGCATTGGTGGTTCAGTGGTAGAATTCTCGCCTGCCACGGGAGGCCGGGTTCGATTCCCGGAATGCAGCATACACTTTAGCACACTTAGTGGTAGAATTCTCTTCTGTACCGAGGGAGGCCGGCCAATGCAGCTTCCGTCACAATGTGGCCGGGAATTGGAATCACAATGTAAAAATAGTGGCCCGAATTGAGGCACTTCATTAGGTTTACTAAACCTCTGTCACAAGTGGGATTCGAACCAAGTCCTCCAAGGGAACTGCTG